TTTGAGGGTTTATCAGTCTAAAAGGTTTATGGAAGCGTTTATTACACAGAATAAACCCTTAAAGGGTATATGTGAGACTGTTATACCCTTTTGACGGGTTCATTACTATACGAATATTTTTATCAGTGCTGATGCAGCTGTTTCATGAATACAAGTGATCTTAATAGTATGACGTTCAGGTTTCGCAAAGTAACATGGAAGAATATAAATACTTAATTTAATTTAAATTTAGAAATACATTTAACACGATATAATTTATATTTATTTTTAATTGACATTGATGTGAATTTAGAATTAAAATAGATTAACAGAAAAATGCCACCCAAGTAATGCATTAGTTTTCCTTCCATATTCTATTTTGACAAATTATTTTTTCAACACATTGAAATCATAAATTGTGGGAGCTATCTATTGATCAATACAATGAGGAAACGAGAGAGTACTCTTGTATTTGACATTTACTCATGAATTGCATATTCGAATAGACGGTGGTAGAAATAGGGCTAAGATTAATCGTACTACGTTTTGTAAGACAGATTACTGCTTACTTTACCTATGCTGTGTCTATTTAACTTGCAACTGACCATATTTTTCTAGGCACTAATTAATTCTAGGCACATTCAATCGTTGTTCTTCAATCTAGTCTTATCATAGAGTTCGGCTATATTTTTGTTCCTAATAATTTCATACTCGACATATACATATATTGATAGTTTATTTGAACTAGTTAAATGTCAAGAGAGTGCTTCTTTACACGCAGAGAGAAAGTCACATGTAGGCGATGTCTTCTATTCTTTGCTGGCGGAATCGATCATGATCGCTTTTCGTTCATTCTTTTTTGTTTCTTTTTGTTTCTGTTTCTCTTTACCCTGTAGATGCCTTTTATATAAACGTTTGTCTGAAAGAAAGGTAAAAAACGAAACATTCACTTTTTTAACAGTGCACATTGACACTACATATTACTTACGACAAGTTTCGTCGCCATGGCATTAATTATATTTGCAAGTCTCTTTGTAATCGTCATTATTCTGCTTTATATCTATTTGAAACGAAGCTACTCTCCATCACCAGATGATCTACCAGGAGTGAAACCACATATTTTTTTTGGTAATCTAATTAATTCCGGTATATTGACCGCCGAATCAACGTTTCATGAAATGATGCTCGATTATCAACGTCGTTTCGGTGACAAATTTCAATTTTGGTTCGGTTCACATCGATGTTTTATTTTCTGTCGAATAGACCATGCTCAAACGATATTTGCTAATCGTCATAGTTTTGAACAATCACCATTTATTCTTCCAAACTTTGACCTTTTTTGTCCAAACGGCATTACAATATTGACAGGTGCTAGATGGAAACGACATGTACGAGTTTTATCACCGATGTTCAAGCGAAGAAATATTATCGGTCATTTGGATACAATTGTTGAATGTGCTGATCGTTTTATTGATCGAAACCTTGATCCTGGTCAAATTCATCGAGATTTGGTCTCACGCTGTCAATCACTTACCATGAATATCATCGGACTCATAGGATTCGACCAAGATTTCGATGTTCAGGTTAACTTACACATAAAAAAAGCTTTTCAAGATTTTATGCTTCATGTCGTCTTGCTTATGACCACACCTTGTGTTCCTCGATGGTTAGCTAAAATCTATTTGAAATGTAATTGGAAATATCAACGAGCTTACCGATTGATTCTTGAATTGGCAGAAAAGCTCGTTGAAGAAGAACAAAATAAACAAAGTGAAAAGGAAAATGGACGACCAAAGAATCTGGTTGCTTCGTTGGTTTCATCATTGAATGAACAAGCCAACGATGAACAAGTGCCATCCGGTATAAGACGTGCGGAGATGTTTGATGAAATTTTGACGATGATCGTAACTGGTTATGAAACAACATCAACGGTTCTATCGTGGTTCATATTCTTTGCAAGTAAAAATCCTCAAGTGCAACAACGAATGAAAGAGGAATTGCGCGAACATCATCTTCTGATGACTGACGATCTCACATGTGTACCACCGCTTACGCCAGACAATTTGGCTTCACTAACCTATTGTGAATGTGTGACAAAAGAGGTTAGGCTTGTTTCGAAATGTTGCATAGTTTTTGTAATATTCTTCTTTGTATTCAGATCTTACGCTTAGCTCCTGTCGGTGATTTGACAACCCGTGCAGCTACTCGTGACACCATTATTGACAATGTCAAGATTTATAATGGTCAAATTATTTTTTATTGCTTTACATAACATTAATACTGATACTCGCTATTGGCATCATGCTGATCCTCGAAAATTTGTACCAGAAAGATTTTTAGGTGAAGATCAAAATCACCATCCATTGGCGATGATCCCGTTCGGTGGTGGACATCGAGCATGTATTGGACAAGAGTTAGCTTGGTTAGAGCTGAAAACGATCATCGTTCGAATGATGCAACGCGGCATCACATTCGAAGATACACTTGGCAATACCGGTGGTTACGAAGAACACCTGAACTGTTTTCCCAAAAACTTGGCAGTGCGTGTACGCTTCGATTGACCTTAATATTGTTTTCTAATACGACTGTAACTATTGACAACAATCGACTCAATTTTATTTTAGTACTTATTCTCTTAGGCGGATGCTTGCTTATTCCCTTGCATGAAAGTGGCCGCAGGGGTTTAGTAAATATTATAAATTTGTGCTGGAACTGTTTCAATTCAGATTTCGGGTATCTCTATTTGTTTCATGAACAACTATTTTCCTGTTATGGGATGAGAACTTTTTATGAGGTTAAAAATCTGATGATCAGAAACCTAAGTCAATGTTTATGCTTAGTGATTGTATATTATCTGCCACGACAGACTTGGTTTGGAATAATATTATTCCGGGGGAGGGTNAGTCTTGCGCGAAAATGAGATGCAAAAGAGTCTCACTGTTAGTATCGAGTCAAAAAATCATAATGAAAAAGAGTTAAAAATGCTACTTTGCACCAATAGATAAGATTCCTCATTTCACTAAAAGATTTCTGAACATACCAAACTTCTTCCGCTCTTCATGGATTACGTACTCAAATGAGTTTATTTTTCACAAAACATAAAAGCTAGATATCCATGAGTAAAATATGCTCTCTACACATTTAGTCATACCTTCTTAAATTGACCAGATTGTTGTTGTGACAGCCGATAGCTCAAGACGGAAGAAGATACTTTTTTGGTACTATTATATTAAAAGCTTTCTCATGGAACAATTAACTATAGATAGGTCTCTCCCGATACGAAGTGTATTTTACTACTACTCAAACCGTATCCATGTAAAGAATCGGCAGTTTATAGATTAGTCGCCAATGACTATTCGAAACTGAAATTAATGGTCTATTGGGAATAAATTTGGATAGTATACTGCTGATGCACATCGAAACACATGTCAACTACTCATTTGCAGAGATTATTCACTGCAAACAACAACGCTTATACTTACATAAACAATTTTGAACACTTAGTAATGTATGAATCCATTCAGTCTTCTGCTTTCATTCAAAATTTTCATCATCTGTCGTCCTTACTCTCCATTACTGTTGGAAAAAAAGATCCAGTCTAACGAGTGTTTGTATCATAGGTGAAGATAGCCAAGAAAGCAATAAGTAGAGAACAGTGTGTATTATTGTCTCATTAGGGAGAGCATTTGCAAAATGTTCTACCAGTTAGCTTCTGGTTCGAATACATTCAAGTCCAAATATTTCAAGTGTCTGTATGAAAAATAGAGATTCACAAGACGAAGATAAATAGTAAATTATGTATAACCGTGTTGTGTGCGAGAGCATTGGTAAGATATTGTGTTCCTTGAACTCCGATTCGATTTCTTTCAAGATCGAGTATTATCAGTGTCTGTATAAAAACTAGAGATATACAAGACGAATGTGATTAGTAAATGGTGTTTTTACGGAGTTGTTTATTAGAGCACTAGCAAGATATTGTGTACGTCGACTTCGGATGTAATTATGTGCAAGGTCGATGGGCGTGATTGTCTGTGTGAAAAATAAAGATTGATAAGATGAAGAGGAGTCGCAAATGATATGTCATCGTATTGTTTGTGAGACCATTACCAAGGTTTTGTGTCTCAATGTCTTTGATTGGTCGAAGCCGAAGGCTGAGTTTAGTCATTGTCTATTTGAAGTGTACAGATTGAGAATAGAGGAGGCAGTTTCACACTCTTTTTATTTATAGTAGGAAAAGAAAAGAAAAGTTCTTTTACTTCGAAAAAAAGAAAGGAAATGAAAGTTGAAATCCTTTAATATTTTGTCTATTGACAGAATATGTGTCTTCTAATGTAATACCTAGAGTAATCGTTTATATAGCGTTAATTGTCACAGCTTTCTACTTGCTCTTTTTTCGGTTTTACTTTTTTTACTTGAACATATGCATCATCGGCTTGTATTTTCTATCTGATCAGCACTGATCGAGTATTGTGGATTCAGAACTCATTGAACTCTCGAAGTCACATGAACTATGTTGAGGATGAGAGTAAATATAGAAAACTTTGTAAAAGAAAAATTGCTTTAGTGAAACTGAGGACAGAACGTCACATGGAACAGATCATATGAATGAGGGTATTATGCAAAGACTGATATACTGCGTTGATAATTCAAATCATCTAAACATGAAACAGATGTTTTGTAATCATCCATGTAAATGTTAAAATGCAAAATGTATGTATTCTGACACAAAAAATATGTACATGTATAGGAGAAAGATTGATTAAATCACCTACAAACCATCTAATTTATTATTGTGTAAAGGTAATATTTGCTTAATTTAAAATATTTCTTTTATGTGAGAAGATGTATAACCAATCATTTCATCAAATCAAATAAATCATCGATATTCTCTGAAGTAAACCTCTATTGAGAAAATACGAATTTCTGTAAAACTTATTTTTCATTTACTATATCTAAAGATTACCATAAATACCAGAGTAAAAATGATCCAAAATCACTTCTTATTGATTGTTTTTGGCGATCGAGATCTACTAGCATTCGTAGGATGATTGGTTAATTATTATTAATTCAGAGTGTTTTCATGTCTTCGTTGCTGCAATGAATGTTTAGATCTAGGTTCCTTCTATGATCTTCAGTTCAACTAATCTTAACAAACGAAACCCTTAGAATTCGCTTGATTAACTTAATTCATTCTTTTGCTTTCAGGTAATATTTATCAAAGTCAAAATATTATTCTCAAATTTTCACTATTCTAAAATCAACAACTAGAATAATCATTTATTGAACTCAATTATATTTTGAAGATGATCGCAATTCGACTCAATCATAAATGTAAAACTTACCTGATATCGATGATATGTCTCAGTGATAGCATTCAGTCGTGAACAAACATTACGAACTGAACATAAAATTTCTAATCAATCGAGATTGTCTAGAATACGATACATAAGTTCAACAGGTAATGCCGAAAGCAACGAACGAATGTTGACAGATATTAATGTTGCTTACTTTCAAACAGTATGCTTCGTTATAATCAATGTGATTTCGAAATATATTTTTCTTCATGTCGACGCATTTATTGACAATGTGTCATTAGCCTTATGCAATTTTTCGTTTTCACAGAGAACTGAAACGAGTTCAATGTAACGAATACAATGAAAATGTAAATTCGTTAAAGTAACTATGCATGTACATTGTTTTTTCGTCTACATTTCATATAAGACTTTCAAGTTTGTATTGTTAATTGGGGATGTGGATCTTTTATGTATCTATCATCATGTACAGTTTTGTTTTAATCGCTTAAAAAAAATGTTCAGCAATAATCTGTAAAAGAAATTCTAATAAAATGACATTAGAAGAGACATAATTTTGCAAGCTTCTTTTCTTAAATTTCTCGATTGAAATAAGTTCTTGAACTTTTGTTAAGCATTAAATAAATGACAATCTTATATTCAGAAAATATGTCTAAAATTCAGACAAGTATTTTTATTCTTGAAGAATTCTTAAGAACACTTCGTATGACTTATTAATATTATTTGATAGATAAAATACTGTCAATATGCATTTCTTCTTCTCATTTTATGTTTGCTCTAAATAAAATGTTCAGTTTGTTGTTTTCACTGCCGCAAACTTATTACTGTAATAAACGATGAATGTCTGTATTGTTCACTTTATTCGCTATTATAACATGTATTTCGATTAACAGTGACCGAAATTGCTTGCTTTTTATAGACATCTCTTTAAGAGAAAATAATTTTAATTTTTGAACCAAGCCATACTTTTATCCTATATATTCAATCGGTAAAATATCTTAACATTATCATTCAGGACGAAAAATTCTTCATTTCATCTTATTCCATAGGAAGTTTTTCAAAAGAGTTAGATCCCATGGGACCAATATAACAGGATGGGATTGACTCATCCCATGTAGAACTCTGATGAATAATAACCCATTTTCAAATATGAAAATCATTACATTCATCATGAATCAACAGAAAAATCCATTTTGTTGAATTTTAGTGGTGTAATGTGGATTTTAAAAGTGAGCGTGATGCTCTGAATCTTTCTTGTGGCGAGATTTTGTGATTTGCATTGATGAGAAGCTCAGATTGTAGATTTTCTATATTGTAAGCAAAGATTAATTATCGTCTAAGAATTTAGTAAATCATGTTTTCTTGTTTGAAATTAACCGTTAATAATTTATACAAGAAAATACAAGCATGAATGAATTATTTATCTAGAGAAAATAATACTTTCAAAATACAGACACAAAATTAATAAATAGAATTAACAAGACAAATTTCTTTCATGAAAAACTATCATTTGAATTAAATGAATTCCTTGATAATTCAATCATATTTCAGATAGAAAATTTTTCTTTTGTAAATCTTTTAAGAAACTGATCACATGATCAGACTTTTATATAAATAAATGATATGTCCTTTGATTGAGCACGTAAGAAGATAAATAGATAGATAGGGTGTAACTTCGTCCTGTCTATACTAGATGAATAATTTTGTGATATATACAGACCTTCTCTTCCAATATTGCATTTTTTTTTTCTTTTCTTTTTCTGCATTATATTATTTATCATTCATCATCGTATGATCATGGATAATAGGAAAAAAAAGAAATGTTTTGTTTATCTAAGGGTAATATGACAGATGGTAATATTATGTGAAAAAAAAAAAAATAAGAAGAAGAACAAGATATTCTGATCTTTCATAATCATGTCTTGTACAACTCGACGTATGAATCTTTTTCTATTCATTT